TTGCGCACCAAGTACAGTCCATCTGAATAAGAAACTTGGTTTTCTTACTTGTAATGCTGTCATTAAATGCATTCTTTCATTCTCAGCTTCCTCTGAAAAATACAAATGTATCAAGTATTTTCATTGGCTCTTTATGGAACATGTTATGCATCAAGCATTTTCATTGGCTCTTTATGTAACACTGTATGCATCAAGCATTTTCATTGGCTCTTCACTAACACTCACAGTATGCATCAAGCATTTTCATTGGTTCTTTATGTTACACTGTATGCATCAAGCATTTTCATTGGCTCTTCACATAACACTCACTGTATCATCAAGCATTTTCATTGGCTCTTTATGTAACACTGTATGCACCAAGCATTTTCATTGGCTCTTCACATAACACTCACTGTATGCATCAAGCATTTTCATTGGCTCTTCACATAACACTCACTGTATGCATCAAGCATTTTCATTGGCTCTTCACATAACACTGTATGCATCAAGGATTTAATTAATTTACATGTTCGGTTTATATTTACCCAATAAAGTATGTATCCATCCATGGTCACGCTTCATTCTCCTCAGTGAGTTCAAATGCCTCACCATGGCAGCCACCATACCTGGTACCCCGGCAACTGTCTCTAAAAAGATAATTCTCCTGAAACAAAAATTTACAAATTGTAAAATAACAAATTAGTTTATCCAGCTAGGTATGGTGCTAGTACTGTACTCGACCGTGTTAGCGCCCATGCCTGGGCAAACGCCCACCCCCCACTTTTGCGCAATTTTTATATTTGGGGTCACATTCGACAAAGTGCCCACCCCTTAAAAATGCAGCTAATTTAAAACTTGGTCTTGAGTAACGAATCTTGGTAATCGTTTTTATATGATACAGCGTGGATATCGACCGCTGTGAACATGTTGTGAATGCGTAGAGAACATGGTAACCGTGCATAAACTACGCTACGACAATGACTCGTTAATACAAGTGAAATAGGGTAAATATTTCATGCCATATTCAGTTTACCTCTCAAAAATGGCTAGTTACTACATGTAGTTTTTTGGAAAAACCATGTCGCTACACATTGCATTACTGGAAAGTCTTCGGGAATTTCCGAAGAATTGCGTCAGTCAACACAGCATTCTGATTGGTAATAACCAACTTGGCCCATTAGGTCAAAGGACGCCGCTGCAGGTCAAATATGCAAATGCATCATGGCGGAAAGTGATTTTCATCGAGAGTTTGCGTACGATCCAACACCTTCGTCAGTGGAGATAATATGATAATTTTGACTTTGACTGTGTTCCAACAGATTCAAATGTTTTTAATTTCGTAAATTCTGGTGATACGTAATTAATATTGTAATAAAATGTGCACATTTTTTGTGATCATTTCTGTTTCTTCATTGTGAAAATCAATGACGACTCAACTAATTTCGTAATTTGATTTTCCCTCAAAAACGTAATCTGTCACTTGATGAATAAAATTTTTCATTTGCACTCTTTTTCGAGGGGGGTTCTCGGGTAAGCGCCCACCCCTAAAAAATCATGATTTTCTGAGTTGAGGCCCCTGGGCGCTAACGCGGTTGATTACGGTAATATCATAGCGATATATACACACTAAAATATAGTGTTTGTTTACATGAATTTTAAAAATGCACGGTGCGATGACTATATGCCCTTTCAAATAGCATGACGATACACTGTGAGCATTGGTGATTGTCTACATCTGCGAGATCTCGCGAGTTGTGTGAAAGACACATGCTGAATGTCTGTGGCAAAAATCAAATGAATTGATTTTGAACTTAAATTACTATATTTCGTAGCTCACATCAAAATACCGATCTTTAACAGGAGGATATTGCGTTTGAACACCCTTACGTCATCGAAATTGACCATCATCAAATGTGTACAGCACAATATTAAGCGTGGAAATATCTCCCAAAACATTTTTGCGTTCGTCAAATCCCATGCGATGTTTGTCACCACTACGACGCTATGACCTTTGTTTGTCCCGTTTTTACGTTTGATTTCACACATAACACGTGATTCTCGCAGTGAATTTATTCCAAATTATTAAAACATAATCATGGAGAATTCATTGCATGAACTTCCAAACTGCCCGATAAATATGGAGAGTATTTTTTTTTTCTGCCAAAACTGCTTATGATATTTTTTTGGGTGCCATTAGTATAAATATGAAATAGATATTTCTAGCAATGTATCTAGGCATTGGTGGAATATCATCTAACACTGCAATGTAACACTGCAATAGATTCAAGGCTATTCTAAACACTGCCCTCAGTCTACTGTGGAATAAAAACGCTTTACTTTCCTTTTTATTCCTCAACCCATAAGCTGAACTATATACTGCCCTCTGTTTACATAGGAATAAATACACTTTGCTTTCCTTTTTACTCCTCAAAGTACTGTAAAATGACTAATTTTCACTGGGTTTAAATTTCGCTGAGTTACCATTTCAGGCATATTCAGTGGGTTTCAAATTCACGGTTTTATCATTTAGATAATGTGTTCTATGCTAAATTTTACATATTCACTGGATTTTAATTTAGCGCATTTCCCAGTCAGTGAAAGGAGCAAAATTAAAACCCAGTGAATAATTAATCCTTTTACAGTACAAGCTTTAATACATACTGCCCTCTGTGGAATAACTATGTTTTACTTTCTTTTTTATTCCTAAATGTATGTAATGTATACTTACACGAGCCATTTTTTCTCCGATGGTTTCCCTCGCTTGTATCCAGACAGCACATCAAAGGATTTTCGAAGAGCCTGAACAGATTTATACGCTGCCTAAACGTAACAAAAAAAACCACAATGAGCAACTTGGAAACATACCCCCTAATTAAAATCAATGATATGAATGTGAGAAACTATTTGACGACTTGCAATTGTTTGGAACTATTGAGAATCACAGTAAATTAGATCAGAAAAGGCCCAAGACCACTTTCTGGCCACTGCATTATACATGAAATCCATCATACGAAAAACAAAGCTCATAGCGTTGTTGGTGCATAAAAACTTTGTGCAAGATTCAATTTGGGGGGGGGGGGTACTTTCTACATTTAATAATGTGCTATACACATTTGGTGATGAGCAATATTGATGAAGTTAAGGAGTCTCAATGTCTAGTTCATCTTTGACAGATTGGCATTTTAACCTTGAACTATAAATAAAAAATTAAATTCAAGTAAAATCCATTCATTCAATTGTTGTGATTAGATCTTATAGAAGTATACCCAATTCACCTATTATTTGCAAATATATGTACTCCCTAAGTCATTTGTATTTATCGCATGCTCCCCAAGTAGAATTTGAAAAGCATTGCATGACAAGTTTTATAGCATCAGATTTCAATCATTACAACTCACGAAAGCCATAACTTTCAGATTTGATTTTTGACCAAGTTAATCAAAATTAAAAAATTAGCTGACAATAACATTTGAACACACAATCAATTGACTTTCCCAGAAAATCGTATTTTTAGATAAAAGCTGAGCACATATTTTCCCACAATTCATGTAAATTCAGATCATCCAACATTTCAAATAATTGTCGGCGATAACACTTTAGGAATGATCTCAGAGTGCAACTTAAA